AGGTGTATACATAACATTTTAATTTATTATTTGGTGAATAGTTCAGGTAAATATCCAAAACAGAGTCAGTAACATAGCAACATCCAGGGCAGTCGATGTTCTGACAAAGATAGCATTGTTAAGCTAAAGGTAGAGAATCATGAAGTAATCTCCACTGAATATCTTAATCAATGCTGAAGAAAGTAGAACATCATGAATTAATGTCTACCAGACACCTGAATCAATGCTGAAGAAAGTAGAACATGATGAATAAATGTCTACAGACATCTGAATCAATGCTGAAGAAAGTAGAACATCATGAATTAATGTCTACCAGACATCTGAATCAATGCTGAAGAAAGTAGAACATCATGAATTAATGTCTACCAGACACCTGAATCAGTGCTGAAGAAAGTAGAACATCATGAATTAATGTCCACAGACATCTGAATCAATGCTGAAGAAGGTAGAACATCATGAATTAATGTCTACCAGACAATTAGCATTAAATTGCCCTTCAACTTGATCCAGAATTTCTAAAATCTAAAGTCGTACCTACTGATAAACTTGCTGCATTTCAGTATAAAGTAACAATAGCTAAAATTTATAAAAAATCTGGCTTACATCATATCGTTTCGTTAGGCTTACAATTAACAAAATATCTTTTACGCCCATGTGTACCAAAAGTTAACGAACATTTTTTTTCAAACACTACCTGGCTTAATGCTGAATTTAGTTTGATACATTTTACTTTATTGTTGTTTTCTTAGTATATACGCGTAGTCTCGAACCATGTGTTGGAGTACAAAATACTTGTTTAATTAAACATTCCGTAAAAATAACAACGCCTGGGCGTCAACACTACATGGATGACAAATTGTTATGTAGTTTCAGTCTATATGATGGAAAGAACAAAGCTGAAGTGCCACTAACGCGTCACAGTTTACACTTTAAACACTTAGTTACTTCCAAGAAATGTGTATGGAAAAGCCTAAATACACTGCGCTCTGACTGGAAAAATATATGTCCAAATGTTACATTTTATTTGTTTGTTTATTTATTAAGCCTCGGGGAAGTTGTTTTTAAATTTGAGTCACTGAAATGGCCTTTAATGTAGTTGTTTTCTGTTTATTTATTATTAACTATTTATATTTGTTACAAATATACAATATTATATAAAACAGAATTGTGATTTTCAACTGCGAGAGACGTATGAAAATTATTTATGGATTATGTAAAATAACACAAGTATCAAGAGATGCAAATTTATAAAGTATCTGTTCTTGTGTAATATAATACTATCAATTAAATACAACTTATTGATTTATACTTTCGTTACTATCATGTATGTATTTAACATTATTTTCAGATTTTATCATACCGAATTTTAGACCTCCACAGCTGTGGCGCCCTCTCTGAACGGTGGGAGAATTTTCCCGATGGAGGGATCGCCTGCTTCTGATGCAGCGGCGGCAGCTCTTTCAACGTATTTATCGTTACCAATTTCTTCACTCTCTGGATTACCGTACATGCCTTTCTATGCTATGCCAGTGGCGGCCTCTGGTGCTCGTCTAAACCAAGGACTAAATATAGAAGATGATAATGAACTACCTATCGATGTTCAATCACTGTTACCAGATGCACTTGGTAAGGCTTTTTTTTTTTAATGTAAGTGGGTGCGTGATATTAGAGGCAATGCACTAATTATAGTGAGTCTAAGTGAAGTTTATGAAACATAGTCAACTGTTGAAAAATTACAGATACTGGTAGTCGGACTTGTAAAATTGAAGATAACTTTACATATTAATAATTCACATAGGAAAGGTGCAAGTTCGCTGAAAAAAGTAATTAATTTAAAAACATCCCTATTCTGCAGCACCTAAAGGCGCATTTTGTTTTGTTTTTTACGTCTGCCGGCATAAGTTTACTGTACGTTTTACTTTTATTGACCTCACACTCTATCGGGGATGAAAAAATGGCGACCTTCATAATCAAATTTGAAAAGTGTAGTCAGTGTGGCATAACTTCTTAATTTTGAGTAATAATTTATGTATCATGTTTGAAATTTAAGTTGAAGATAGTTTTATGCTATAATGGTGAAAATTGAGGGCATGTATAAATGCAAATAAATAACTAACGTTGTAATATGCATACTCAGCATATACTGATGATTTAGGCTTAATGTTTGATAATCTTTTTATCGAATTCTGTTTACTAACTGCTATCTCTCTGACTTTTGCACGTTTTGTTTGACCTTCTGCGAGATCTGTGTCTATTGGGAGAGTATATGCAAAAATAAACAATCAAAACTAAAGAAACGCGTCTTATAAAACGGTCAGTTACCTTAAAAGGGCGTATGAAACTAAGAGTAAGAGAAGATCTCAAGACATTTCTGTTAATGCCTCAAATGAACAGTTGTGCACTTATTTCTTTCATAAACATTAAAAAGATATTAAACACAAAGCTTGTAAGCGTAAACTTGTTGAGGACTTTAGCTGTGACGTCTTATCATGTTTGGACTGATCTCACAAGGTATCCAGCATTATTTTGATGCTGTATTTTACAGTCGTCATGACTGATAATTGTGCTCTGTGGATTGTTCTGATCGTAGATACACAAATAAAGGTTTAAAAGATGGGTAGCTTGGAAAAATGCAGTTCAAATACAGAACTGGGCTCCAACCAAATGGACAACAGTTTGCAGCATATACTTTGTGGATGGTCTAAATAACTTGGAACCAAAACTTTTGAACTCGAGTGGAAAGAAAATCAAACATTTCAAATTTTATCTATTTAAAATAAGATAAAACTTATTTGTAAACGTTTTTTTAAAATTTGAGCTTTGGCTTTTGCAATGGGACAGTGTCAATGTACAAGATTATTCACTTAAATCTTGTATATATAAAGCAAAATCCCCATTGAGAGTAATTTATAAATATAAAGTTTTTAATGTAAGTGTGGTTCTGTTTATTCACTTTTTTTGCATTTTCACAACACTCATTGCAAAGAATTGGCTAAAAATTATGAAACCACTCATCTTCTCTATAAAATACATATACAATCTTAGCAGTAATTAAATGGATTAATTGCCATATAGATAGTATTTATCTATGTGTTATGCTTGATTCAGATATTTTGAGGAAACCCATAACCACTAAATCTGTTAATCCATGAGGAATTTGGTCTATAAATTAAATAGTTTAGCAAACTGTATAAATTTTAGAGTTAAGCAACACAGAAAACCAACTTTTTAAAAAGACTGCTTATATTTGACGTGGGGTGAATTTGAGAGAGACTTATTTTTTCATAGTATGAGATAAGAAAAATCTTTACTGTGCTTTGTTGTAAAAGGTTTTTAAATAGAAATATTCATTTTAAATAAAGGAAACAGTTAATGCATACTCTACATTTTAAAATTATGTTGAATAAAAAGTTGAAATCTTTTTGGCAATGCATTGAGAGAGATTAAAAGGTTTTTTTCAAAGAATTGTACAAAACAATTCATTAATGCTGTCTTTTTTTTCTGTTGTTTGTGTAATGAGCTCTTTTGTTTTAATACCAATTGGTATCTGTTCTCTTTGAGAACTTGGATATTTTCATTCACTTCCAAAATAGTCTACAACAGGAGAGCATAAAATAAATGAAAATTATAAGTTATGAGAAAGAGATCTGATAGTTAAAGTACCTTTGTTTTGAAGCTTGTATTGAAGAGTTGATTTGTGACATATAGGCAATTCATTACGTTTGTCAGTTTTTCTGAACTATTGTTGTTATTTACTATGATTCTAGTAACAAGTTATATTATTGCTCATCAGGTGAAGATCCTCGACAATGGAACAGAGAAGAGTTAAGCCAGTGGTTAGAGTTTATGACAGAACAACTGTCGTTACCAGGGGTGGATCCAGAAAATTTCCATATGAATGGTTAGCAGTAATTGTAAAGTAAAATACTTTTTTTTTCTTAACTCACCTTTTGTTATCGATGATGCAAAACAAATATGAAAGTTTTAACTTCAGTAAATTTTAAACTTCGTGAGTACGCATAGTAGCTTTTGAATTTTACCAAAAATTGCATAGGTTTAGTTGAAACTCGATGTTAGAAATAATTTTGGTCTACAAGGATTGTAATATACCTTAGTCCTATAATGTATAACTTTTACACATAATTGTTATGAATTTTCATTTTTAAAGTTCTCTTAGTGACAAGTAAAGTGTCCTAAGAAAGCATATAACTGTTAGAAATCTGAAGAAGACAGACCAATGTTCTGTCAAAACAAGTAGTATGTTCCCCCAAAACTAAACCACTTCATTATCCTTCTAAATTGTTGTTTGTCAATTTACTATTACTTAGAAATCTAAGTATGCTAGATAATTATCAAGAAAGGGTGACCTTGGGCTTTTCAAACATAGAGGTGGTTTGGTTTAAATTTCGTGCAAAGCTACATGATGGCTATCTGCGCTAGTCTTCCCTAATTTAGCAGTGAAAGACTAGAGGGAAGGCAGCTAGTCATCACCACCCACCACCAACAAATAGTGGGATTGGCTGTCACATTATAACACCCTCATGGTTGAAAGGGCAAGCATGTTTGTTGGGACAGGGATTCGAGCCTGCATCCCTCACATTGCGAGTCGAGCACCCTAACCACCTGGACATGTTGGGCCAACATAGAAGTGAATGAAGCCCTGTTTGATTTCATTATAATATACAATTATGATAGGTAGTCAAATATAGAATCAAATTGCTTTTTTTTTATACAAAACAACTACCTAATGTCCACTTTTACCATGAATTGTAAACCTTTACATATAGCGTCAGGAAATCGTGTTTTTTTTTTCCGAAAAGTTTTACGCATTTATTGTTACACTAAGAAATAAATGTAGTGGTTGTCCATCTAGGTAATATTTGAAACATTTGAACTATAGGCAGTAAATTTAAAGCTTTTTTTAGACAGTTCCTATTATAGGGAACTTTCATGATATTTGTTTTTTAAATAAAACCAAAACATTTTGAGGTTAAAATATGACTTATGTTTATTTATCATTAAGCATAAAACATTTAGTTCCTTGAAAATTTTAATTTGCTTAGAAACTTTTATCCCAGTTATTAAAAACGTAATTTATTTTATTGATTTTGTATGATCCTATACACATTTCTGTTTTCAATTAGGAAAAGCAGTGTGTTTATTGACAAAATCTGACTTCATAGACAGAGCCCCAGGAGCTGGAGATGTTCTGTATAATTGCTTTCAGTTACTGTTAAACAAGTTTTTAAAGACTGTTAGTCCATCTGCCAGGTGTCCCCAGTTTAATAATATCTCTACAGCTCTTCTGAGAAAACAGAATGCCAATGGCAATGCAGGTATTTTGTTATATTCACAACTTCAACTTCATTTATGTAAACACTGTAATAATAATAATGTAAATAGAAAGCTTTTTCAGTGAATATGTATCCTATTCTGACAGATAAATTTGAAAATTGTCACGAGTATAAGCTAACAAGTAATATAAGTTATAAATCGTTTGACTTGGTTGAAATATAGAAAACTGTACAAGTTCTTTATCAAAACATTTAGAAAATATCATAATTGTATCTAAATTATATGTATATAGATACCTACATTTCTATTTATACTTTTGCATTTAGTTAATTTGCGGCTATATGAATATACACAGTTAACAAAATTATGATGCTTTTAAAGTTTGAAACTCAATAATATTTGTATCTCCTTCTTAGAAGAAAGTTAACTTTTTATTAAATACTTAGGCAGGTTACAACAAATATTATAATAACATGTAACTTTATGAGATCTTTAAACATAAATGATTTTTCTAATGAAACACAGCTTCAGGTTGTTTTCAAAGTGCCAGCTCCACATCACCGTGGCCAATCATTAGTAGTGACTTTCAGAACATGGGTCATGTTGTCCACAACTCTAGTAACAACATCTCAAACTTTGTGAGTGATGTAAATAATCCTCTTGTGTTGAGTCCATCCCATGGAGGCAATTCACATAAAGAATCTGCTCAAACAATGCTTCCTAGTGCTGTTGTGTCTCAGAACGGTAAGTCTACGCAGTTAATTTATGTACTGATACAAACTAATTTATATAAAACAACCAAATTGTTCTGGATATATATATATATATCCAAAGAATCCAAATAAAAAAACTAGCTTTAATGGAGTGATAATAAATATTCTTATAACAAAGAATCTACATCTAGAATAGATACTTTAGTAGTACAGATATTTTATAAATGATATCAGTTTATATACCATTCTTTATAGCTAGGTGATTAGTGGAGTTTGAGAATTCATTAATCATTGGGCTCATCAATCAGTTACATTCAACTGATTGATTATTTTCACATGAGTTGGATGGTTTTAATAAACAAAAATAGTAATAATTAGAGACACTAATTTTCATTAGTTGATTATTTTTGTGAGTCATGATGCTACTGAATTAAGTGAACAGTAATAATCAGAAACAATAATTTTGATTAGTTGATTATTTTCATGACATTGATTGACTTAATTATCATTTTGGTTAATTGGTTATTTTACGTGACACTAATCACTGTAATTGATTATATTAGTTAATGAAGTTAATCACCCAGATCTACCTTTCTTACAAATAAACATATTTCAATCTAAGAATGTTTTTGTTAAATGTTTTGTGAAATTGAAGGCATTTGTAACAATGTAAAACTGAAAACATAAATAACAGTATTTTAATTATGAACAGGCACAGATTCAGATATGGGGACTTTAAGAACACCATCGCCTACAAAGAAGGAAACTAAAGACACAGCAGGCAACAACCATGCTGAAAAAGAACAGTCATTAGACAAAATAAGTAGGCAATTCTGTCTCAATTTGGATATGCAACTTTAGAATATGTAAATTGTTTAAAAGGATAAGTTTAAATTCAGTTTTAGATGTTATAGAAGGATGTATATTTACTGTAACTTTTTTAAATTAAAAGTAAAAAGTTTGGGCAACTTGGTTGAAGATTGTTAAGTTTTAGGAATTTGTTTATTGTAGAAAATGTCAATGAAGAATATTTTTTATAAAATAATATTTCTTATTGCTGTGCTGATTCTGATTGTAAGTAAGAATAATGTGTTGCATAAAAATAGACCACTTAACCTTCTATACAAAATAATATTTAACTTATGAATAGATCTCTTTAAAACACGTAGAAGAATAAGAAACGATACTCACTACAACTGAAATTTTTGTTTTCTATAACTCATGATATTGTTGTAAAAACAAAACAATGTGAATACATAGTTTTAAGTTGTTTTTGAGTTTTTATTCTGTGTATATTTTGTGATCCTTCATAATACTGTCAAGTGCAGTTCTTCTATTTTTTAGTATTTTGTTCTTATGTTAGAATTCAGTATTTATAATAATTCTATTAATCTTATTTTCACAGACGTGCGGCTGCTGTGGTCATTTCTTCAGGAGTTATTAAATGACCCAGAACAACGTTACCATCACTGTATAGCATGGAAAGACAAAACAAATGGAGTTTTTAAGATTGTAGATCCTCACCGTCTTGCTCGATTGTGGGGAATGCAAAAAAACCACTTGAACATGAACTTTGATAAGATGTCTCGAGCTCTTCGATACTATTACAGAGTCAAAATTCTGCAAAAAGAGCCTGGAGAGAGACACTGTTATAGGTGAGCTATGATTTTAAAGAGATACAATTGTTATGCTGTAATAAAGAAAGATTCCTTTTGTGGAGCCACATTAATGTAAAGAATAAATTTTTTTTCTATCTTATGTTTCATGTTTCACCATAAAATGAAACACTATATAAAATTATTCCACGATTGTAAATATTGGTTCCTTAGATAGTTATTGAATTATGTATTCTAACATTTTGCTATTTACATAGTTTTCTAAGCTAGAAAATATATACTACCTAGAAACATGATCATAGTTATAGATGTCACTTTTATTCATACATTTGGAAAAACCTAAATCTAAACAGATATTTTGCTTTTAAAAGCATACTCATCATGGAAAGTATTCTGAGATACTCTCTTGCTTTTTTTAGTACGTATTTTCCAACAGTCACTCACTCATTTGGAAAAAGAAGTAAGAAGCACTTCCATGAATTTTTAATTCTTTACTTATCCTTCTGCTTATGTCTCAGCTCTTCAATACCAACATGTCTTTTGTGGAATTCAGTTGCACCTGTTGATCTTTTTTTGAGAGATGATAAACATGCTACTCATGGATACATTTTGAACCAAGAAAAATGAATGTATTGTCATGTCCCACAACTTCTCACTTCCTTGTTAGACAATCTTAACTTGCTTAACAAAAGTGGTCCTGTTGGCATGGCAACAGGTAATTCTGGTATGCCCAGTGTTCTTTGTTTAAACTCAATCTTATGTAGAAATATTAAGTCACGATTGGTGCTTTAGTAGCAGTTAGTTAATCTTTTATTTCACTATGTTAAATTATTACAACTAAAGTATTTGGGTTAAGTATCCAGATTAGGGACATGGAAGTGTTACAAGAGGCAGTGTCTTACTTCACGAGCTACTACTGGTATGCCATAATAATATGGGTTGCAGGCAATTGTGACTAGAATATGGTCAGTTGGGGGTGATGGAGAGTGTTGAGGTGTCTTGCAACAAAACGCAGTATATGAGCAAATGCTATTAATGATGAGTGGGAGTGTTAGAATAATTTTAGATTGATTTATAAAAGTATAATGTTATGAGTTAAAACATTTGTCTATATTATATCTGAATAGATTTCTACGACCTGCCGGTGAACTCCGCCACTGTAAACAGAGGTCACTTCTAATCAGAGATACCACGAGTCCCACCAGTTCTCCTTCTAATTCCAACGATACAGGAACAGCACTAAATATGAGTATCAAAGAAGAATGCTCCATGCCATGTCAAGGAGAGTAACTAAAGTCCTTTTTGTAACAGTTTAGAAAACTGAGAGTAGAAATGTAATTTGTTTGTGGTGAAGTAAAAGTGCCTTTTTTCATACCATCACATGTAACTTTTGTTTCAAGAGAAGTGTTCTAAAACTGACTATTCCAGGCCAATGATATTTATTTCTGAAAAAAATTGAAGCTTGGGTCTACTGTACAGGAAGAATGATGAAAATAGATTAGTTTGTACAACTTAGGGAACGTATGTGTGTGTGTGTGGACTCTGCATTCTCTGGTTGATGATCACCAACCAGTAGATAGAGCTAGTTACTATGGTAGTTTCATTGTGTAGTTTTAATTCGATCTTCAATGGAAATAATAATCCTTTTATAGATGTTAATCTATGATATGTACGTGAAAGTAATTCAATATGTACATAGTGTATCTTAACTGTACAGCTTTTAAATAACTTCATTTAAAATATAATACATTTTAATGTTACAATGTACTTTGCTCTATATAGCAAAAGCTGGAAAAATGTCAGAATGTGAATTTTCACATTAAGGTATATCAATTTTGCAGGCTGTTTGAGTATATGGAATTCAGTGTTGAACATTTTGTAATGGTTCTTTCATTTCAGAATTTATATGTAAGTATTGTTTTCTTTTAACAAGAAAGTTATGTTAAAATTTAAAAAAAAAAGATCACCCAAAGGCTTAAGTTCTTTGTAACAGTGGGTTTCTCTTCATTGGGTGCAACAATGTAAAAGTGACATATTTACTTGTAATATAAGTTTACAAATCTGAAAGTTTATTAACAAGTTGTGTCAGATATAATTTCTATGTATGTGTATATTTTGTTTTTTTATTAAGCAGAATGTAAGTTTATGAAAAACATTAATCAAAAGGTTTGGTAGCTCAGAGTGATGATTATAAGCCAAAAAAACAGTTGTAAAGTGTGTACGTGAAATGATTATGCTGATTAACTTGTATAAAGTAAATTATAATAATTTTTTAAAAGAATATTTGAAAAATTAATACAACTGAGGTACGTCAAAAATTATTTAAAAAAAGTTAAAGAAACAAATTTGGTTTTTCTTGACCTTTTGAGTTTAATAAAATCAAAATTAGAGTTCATGCAATAAAACTTCAAATTTTTTAGATATTTAAATATGAAACTAAGTTTCACGTACAGTATCTAACAGGTTGTGATGTGAATCTAGACACCTATAATCTGTGATGACATTTCTTAAACAACTACAATCCTATTAATTGTATTAATAAGTCTTCAGAAGTTATACACAAACATAAGAAAATTGAGGACATTGAAAAGTATAATAAAACTTCAGCTTTAATTGAACATTAGGTCAGCTATGATTTGTAGAATACCAAGTATAATAGACAGTAAATAAAAAGTACGATATAAATGGTTAGAAATTATCCATTAAGTTGAACATTTTAATGCTTTTCTGTTAAACTTCAGTTGTTATAAACAAATCTTGAAAAAAAAAAAAGCGTTTTCTGGAAAATTTTTTGTTGAAAGCAGCAAAAATGTTTTTCAAACCATCTACTTTTGTTTTTATACAGTTGATAGCTATTTGTTGATAAGGGCTCTAAATGAACCCTTTTTTAAGCAATGTTGTATTACCTTATTATCTCTTTGAAATCTGGTTTTAGCACTTGCCTACAGATCATGCACAAGGACGCTTGATTTTTTTTTTTATTTACTTTGAGACTTTGATTTTCAAACCTTAGATGATAAGATTGCAAAATTACCTTTCCTACTGTATAGCATGAGACCTAATGAATAAGTTTAATCTTTTCATGGTTGTTGTTGTTGTTGCAAAAATGTTAAAAATAGTATCATCACATGATTGTTCTTTACTTTCATAATGGTTTCAAAGTGTTCTTATGTTGTGATTAGGCCAAAAATAAGTGTCGGTTTTTCACTTATATATATATATGTATGTGTTTCTACAAAAACATACAAGATTGTCATGTATTATGATTCTCTAAAGGCAGCTTGCCCTAAGATTATATCTACTGTTTCTTGTTGAATTTCATCTTTTTTACATTCTCTCATGACTTAGAAATTACAACACATTACTAGATACAACAAAATGTCTAATACTTCTCGTTTATAGCAGCTGCAAGTTGTGCACTTAACTGAGCAGCTTATTTCATGTTTTTTAATTGTTGCTTTTGTATTTGATCTTTCATTATACAATTGAATAAAAATATAAAAAGGGTTAAGAATATTAATTTTATTTAATTTTTTCTAACTTATATCACAGTTGTGATTCTCAGTTGAATCAAAATATTGTCCATTAAAAGTGAAAATTAATGATGGATTTTTAATATCTCAAACTTAATCTTTTTGATCAAGAAACTGATTTTGAATAATAATAAAAAAATGTTATTTTGATTATATATCCAACTTGCATCAATTACTTCTTTTAATCTTGGTATTAAAGACAAAATAATTGATATAAAATAAAAACTGATAATTATATGAACACAACATTAAAGGGTAATTATTACATGGATGTGAAAATTATATCTTTAGCATAAGAAATTCAGATAGTGATGTCATTACTTCTTATATCAGTTATTTTAAAAGCTTTGTATTGATTAAAATAAAAGTACGATCTTGGTGATTTAAGTCACATGAAGTACAATGCACAGTATTCAATGTTCCTTGACTCTAAAGGATGTGAGAAGTGATTTGTGCAGCTTAAAAATGGTTTCCATTTCACAGTTAATTCTATATTCAGGCTGTAGAAGCCTAGCTTACTGGTGTTTTATGTTAAGTCTTAAAGTCGTATGGTTTTCCTGACCGTTCTGCCTTTACTTCTATGTTCAGTATACAGTAAATTGGAGAAGAAAGTATTATATTGTTGAAACTTTTGTTTTACTTTTTACTGTAGAGATTTTTTTTATAAGATATTCAGTAGCATTACTTCATGATGATCTAACTTCTCCAGCCATGATATTCGTTAGAGATCATGATATTATACCTTTTTCAACATTGATTCAGATGTTTAGTAGACATTAATTCATGATGTTCCACCTTCTTCAGCATTGATTCAGGAAGGCAACACGATAGGTCTTTTCCAGTAAGGTGAAATAAAAAACGACGATTTACTCTCCCTTGGGTTTGTTTACCAATAGTAATGTGGGTCATATATTCATTCCTAATAACGGATAAAACACAAACATTACATCAGATACTTAATAGCTTGAAATAAATAGTAGAAATATCTTAATGGCTTTATACGAGTATATATTATACAATATGGTATTGTAACGTTTTCTATCGTTGGCGAGTTCTTTTTTTATTATTCGGTAAAAAATAATACAAAAGTATAGTCCACATAACGACAAAAAAAGCGATTTATTTCTTCGACTGTAAACATACATGTTATGAAAGCTACGCTCGTTGATAAGCCCAACCAACAAATAAAACTAAAAAAGTCGCATGCATGCAAGCTCTCTACTTTGTTGAATCTAAAGGGAGCCTTTTATTTAAATTTTCTATAGGTTAGTCAGGCCAATGCTGTGGAAATTAAACTGAATTCAGAATTCTGCGTATTTAAACCGGGGGTAGCACTGACACATGCTGTCGTATTTAAACCGGAAATAACCCTAACACTGTCCTCCCACGTGTAAGGCGTGTGTTCGATGTAGGTACTAAAAGATAGATCGGAAAAACAAGTAGGAGGAGGGTTCTTAATTTTTATTTAAAGCTTGTTAAATGTCAAAAAGACTGACTCGATAACTGTGAAAAGCAGCTTTGATTTTCAGGTCATCGGGTTTCTTTTATTGTGACGAAGTGGATTTTCTACTTTTCTTTTTTGTCCCACGTTTTCATGTGTCATGACAATACACATATGTGTGTGTGTAGAATTACAAGAAGTTTAGCATATATTAATGTTTACCAGAACACAAAAACATCGAATAAGTTAGTAACAGAACATAATAGTAATAGTATATTATCAAGCTAATCACACTTTCATCTTAAACACAGACTCAGCTGAGCTGTTACACTAAAGCTGTAATACAGATTCACATTTCTCGTGGTTACCAGACTAAAAATCGAATTTAAAACATCCTTTGTCGTCGTTTCATTTCTGTAACAATACATTGTTTAAAAACAGGGTGTACTTGATATGTTAAACATTACAGTATCCTAGAGAGTCATGACATTCACAGTCGATCTTTTATGTGTATACACTCCCTTTGCAAAGAAACCAGACGCACCGCATTTAATGATTATATTGATGTGATTTGTATTTGTTATGTGAGAACGTCACGTATGGGTCTCCAAACTATGCATAAAGAAGCTCACACGTAGTACTGCACTTGTTATTGTGGTTATAACTATAAATAATATACAACTCATTATTCTACCGAAACGGTTATACAGGTTAGCAGTACTGTACTGGAAAGATTCTACAGGTTAATACTTTTCTATAATAAATTTACAGGTTAGTATTGTAACTGTTCTACATGTGGGGAGAAGAGGGGGTACTGTATTGTAACAGTTATAAGTGTGGGCGACGCTGTACTGTAACTGATATACAGGTCATTACTGTATTGTAACAGTTATAAGTGTGGGCGACGCTGTACTGTAACTGATATACAGGTCATTACTGTATTGTAACAGTTATAAGTGTGGGCGA